AAATATCCGTTTTGTAACGACTACCGTGGTCACCACCCAGAAAATATTCACAAATAAAGTTCCAAGAAAGCTACACAAAAACATGAAAGTGATTTGTCCTGTGTGCCTCATAGGATTTTCAGTAGCTTTGTATACGGACGTGAGGCCAAAAGCCAAGAAAATAAGATTCAACGCACATTTTTTTGGCTAGACTTAAAGTAATAACTTTAAATATAGAAATCGTTTTCTCCTATCTGCCATACTTCTGAAAAGGAATTTAGAAATTGGTATTAAAATAACATAAAATTGGTAAAAAGAAAAAAAATCTATTTTCCCTTGTACTGTAAAATGTAATTGTTGTTTTATACTGCATCACAAAGTAAATGCCATTTGGTGAGTGAACGTCGTTTATTCGATTGTTAACAATGCCTAGAATTGGTAGAAGATCACCAGTTTAACCAATTGTGTGATTTTGAAAGAGGGAACGATTCGTTGGACTGTTATTCCGTTTCGTGAAATTGGTCGAAGATTGAGCAAAACCCTTGAACAGTGCTTCGAGCATGGACTGGGTGGTCTGAAGCACACAACCAACATCGTTGTCCTAAAAGCGGACGTCCTCGAGCGACTAACGAACGTGAAGATCGTCCCCTTAGACAAATTAATGTTAGAGACAGATTTCGTTGTTCGGTTGCAATTCATGCTAACTGGATGAGAGATCTGAGGCAGAGAGTGTTGCGGAGAATTTGTGTGTACCGACGAATTTCATCTTTTAATCTCCACTCATACTTTGTAGAAAAAATACGTGCACTACAATATGTTATCGGCAAAAAGTCATGAAAGTAGTGCTTATATCGGAAAATGATAAATCTCAAGTATAGTGGATCATTTTAAATGCGTATCTCTCTGTCACGAATCGTTATACGAACGCCGAGATGATTGACATGCATTTTATTTATGGGCTCGCTGTTGGTTGCTGATGACCGATTTGCCCACCGTAATATTCCTGATAGAAAAATCTTTCAAAGCATTCATCAACGCCTTCATCAAACAGGCTCAATAAAACGAAGTGGAGGATCGGGAAGGCCAATGACGGTCAGAACGGTAGAACTGGAAGAGAATGAACATAATAGAAGCAGAACCAGTCCAATAATGATGTTTGGAAAATTCTTAAAAATTATTTGTTGTACCCATATCATTTCCAACGCGTTCAAGCTTCTGATTTTCTTCTAGCAGTTATTATTCTGTCAATAGCTCTTCGCAAAGGGCAAATTGGTTCAAATCTTTCAACTACTAACTTTGATTCTTTTTACTGATGAAGCGAATTTTTCAAGAAATGCAATAAGCAATTTTCACAATGACCATGTGTGGGCTGAAGAAAATCCACATGAGCTAAGTGAAGAACGACTTCACCATCAGTTTTCGTTGAACGTTTGAGTTGGAATTGTGGGTAACTGGCTAGTTGGACCAGTATTTCTACCAAGAAGACTTACCGGGGAAATGTATTGCAACTTTCAACATCAGTTTCTAGAGATTGTACGATTCGCTAAAGATAAGAAGATAAGAAATTCAATATGGTATATGCACGATGGTGCACCAGCGGATTTTAGAAACATATTATGGAGATCGCTGGATTGGTCGAGGTGGACCTCGCGTGTGGCGTGCCCCATCCCCGGACTTAAAAATTCCTGAATTTTTTTCTATGAGGCCATCTTAATCTGTAGTTTACACTACTCCAGTGGAAAATATGGAAAACTAGCGAAATCGTATAACTGCTGGCTGTAATTCAATAAAAAACAATCTTGGTGTTTTTGAAAGGGTTCGGCAGTCAATGAGGAGAAGTTTGGATTCTTGCATCTTTGTTGGAGGTAGTCATTTTCAACAATTATTGTAAATTAGGAACACTATTTGTGAACATATGTTGCTTCGGTTCACGAACGATGTTTTGCAAGAAGCGAACATGACTTGCAATACATAAAACCCTACGCACAGCAACGGCTCCAGCAATATACAAATTCGCACAAATAGCGTCGGCACTAGAGTTCCAAAAACAAGCGTTAATACGCTTTTTAGTTTTATATATTTTAGTATCACTATTGATACAAAAAAAGAAATTATAGCTAAATATGAAGGTGGTGTAGAATTATGGTAAATATGAATCTGTTCTAAAAAATAAAGATGCACTGAAGAAAGCTAATGTATCTAAAGGGGTGACCAAGTTAACAAAACAAACGCCTCAAGTGTTAGAAGAAGTTGAAAAATTGTTGTTAGTTTGGATTAATGAAAAGAGGCATAGATGAAAAGAGATAGTGTGAGCGAGGCTTTTATATGTTATATCCAGAGAAGAAAAATTACTATCTGGCCACAAAGCAATGAAAGATAGGCTTACATTATTATTGTGTGCAAATGCAAGTGGAGATTTCAAAATTAAACCCCTTTTAGTATACCACTCTGAAAATCCGCGTGTTTTTAAGAGCAATAAAGTAGTAAAAAGTAAGCCGTCAGTAATGTGGAGATCAAATTCTAAGGCTTTGGTTACCAGAATATATTTTAATGAGTGGCTAAATGACGTTTTTGCTAATTCTGTTAAAACTTATCTCGAGGAAAAGAAGCTGCCCGTTAAATGTGTTCTACTTATGGACAATGCTCCTGCTCGTCCTCCAAATATTGAAGGAGGACTTGATCCTGAATACAATTTTATAAAGATCAAATTTCTGCCACCTAACACCATATCCTTATTACAGCCAATGGGTCAGCAAGTAATTTCAAACTTTAAGAAGCTATATATGAAAGATCTTTTTTCACTATGTTTCCAGGTGACTAATGATACAAATTTAACCCTGCGAGATTTCTGGAAGAATCATTTTAACATTATCCACTGCATAAAGTTCATTGATAATGCTTGGAACAATATCTGTTAGCATGGAGTAAACTCTGGCCAGCTTCTGTGTCTGACAGACATTTTAAAGACTTTCAGGAAGAAGCAGGATGTAATACATGACATTATCAACACTGGCATAAGTTTCGAGTTGGAAATCAACGAGGATGATGTGGCGGAGCTCCTGCAGGACCACAAACATAACCTTTCTTTTTCCCACATCCCTCACAAAAGTTCTCTCGCCGCATCCCCGAATCTGTCCCATCACCCTGTTCGCTCTTTTTGTCATCGCCCTCACGTGCGACCCGACGTTATTACTTTCCAAGAACCCATATCCCAGGTACGTATACTCTTTCACTTCCTCTATCTCCCTATTCCCTGCCACCTACATCTCCCTCTTTCTCCTCCCCCCTTTGCAGAACTTCATGATCATTGTCTTCTCGACGTTTACCTCCAACCCCTTCGCCTTAAAATATCTCTCCAGAGACCTTATCACCTTTGTTCCTTCCATCACCACCCCAACCATCTGCCCCCTACCAAGTCTCTTCCAAGTCCGCCGTATACATTGCAAATAATAATAGAATAAATAATAAAGAATAAGCGAGCACCCTTGTCTGAATCCCTTCATCGTCCAGAATTCCTCGCTTAAGACTCCCACTTTAACTTTGGCCATCGTCTCCCTGTACGTCTCCTTCACTCTTTCTATCAGCTGTCCTGTGATACCTCTCCTCCTCATTTAGTCCCCCATCATCCCTCTATCCACCTCATCAAATGCCGCCTTCAGGTCTATAAGCAATGCATACAACTTTCCTCCCTTCTTATTCAACTCCCTATCAGCCAGGTGTTTCTACATGTACCTATATATTGCCCCTCTTCCTTTCCTGAATCCCGCTTGTCCATCCGGCAACATTTCCCCTTTCTCCATTTCCTCTTCCAGTCTCCCCAGCCAAGGTACCTGGCATATATTTTAAATGTCGTCTATAACAGGGTGATCTTTCTGTAATTGTCCACCACGGCTTTACTCCTCTTTTTATACAGTGGACATATTATCCCCAGCCTCCACCTGTCCAGAAACTTTTCTCCTCTCCATACGTCGTCTATAACCTTCCATAGCTTTTTGTTCACCATACCTGTGGTAATAATTATTTGGGACCTTACAATATTTATATACTCCTGGTACCAGGTATAATGCATTGATTTTAGTGACATCTATTATTCTGATCGAGAACAATAAATAATGTAATTACAGTTTCCTTTTCTATGTTGATATTTATTACTATACCAAATTAATTGTTGATTTATTTTGTGTAACTAAATATATCGCATGCTTTAAAAATCAAAAAACCGATTGTAATGTCATATATATATTTCGAATAAAGTCAAATTTCGAAAACCTTACAAGTTTGTAAAATTTCAAGAACAAACTTGTTTCGGACAACATTTTGGGAATATTTGAGTCATGTCGTAAAAGGATCCAACACACCCACGTGATATTTTGGTTACGTTACACCTACAATCAAAAAAATACATTAAAACTGAACCTGAAGTGAAAATGTAAACAATACCCTTCAAAGCGAACATGGTTTTTTGCCACACAGTTTATTTTGTAACATTTTGGTGGAAGGGCATTAACTGAGTCACCCACCGTTAACGTTCTTCCTTCCACTACACATATATCTAAAAACAAACTTATAAAAAAGATATCTTATAAGTGTGAACTATAATATATCACCTTCAAAGGTTGATGTAGATGTTATTGCTGATTGAGTCGATTTTTTTTCCGGATTTATCAACTGATCTAGTATATCATCTGTGTGTTTTGATTGTTGCTTAAGGTCACAATATACAAACGAAACAAGAAGTAAAATTAAAACCGTTAGTTTCATATTTTTTTAGGTTAAATGAGGTTATGTTATTTTAAGATGTTTATTTTTAATGTTCGTAATGAGGTTAACTACATTATTTAAATGACGATTTTAAGAGGTTTTTAAAGTGCGTAATGAAAAAATAATTTTATAAACTTGCAAGATGTGAAAAAATTAAAATAAACAATTTTGCTACAGGTTCTAACTAATTTGATGTATAGATTGCAGATGGCGGTATGTGTTATTGAAAGAAGTTATAGTTAAAAAGCAAAAGAGGGCGCTAAATTTAAAAATTTTAATATTTATTTTTGCTTCTTATTTTTTATCTGCGGATGGAATTTCAGTCTTAAAATGTTTACAGAGTATTTTTTTTATTATAATTAGTTTTAATACTTAGAGGAATACTTTTCTTTTATTTATTAAACTATCAAATCCCAAGTTCCATACTTTAGATCAGTACATAAATCCATAATTATTTTTGTTCCATGTTGAGGATTATCTACTCCTATGCACATACCAGCAGCAACGTTATAAATTGGAGTTTTATTCTGAAATAAAATTATTATGGTAAATTTTCCTTTGATGCATTAAAAATTATGTTTATACCTCCCCTTTGTGTTGCCATTCTTGATCAGCCCCCATTTCATGGCATTTATATAAAATAACTTTATTTTTATCTGCTTGCAAACATAAAAGTTGTGCTAAAACCAATTCCTTTTTATCAGTTTCAAACCATACCTAAACAAAAAGCTTTAAAGATTAAATCCTTTTTGGAATATATTAATGCTTTTATACCTGATGCCTAGCTCTTACACAACTTTTAAGAACCAACTCACTACCTTTTGATTTTAAATCTTTCGTACTTTGCATACACAAAGAAGAATTAGTTAACCTAATCTGATATTGCTTAATATAATTTCGTTTTCGTGAATGCCACGGTTGGAAGGCGTCTTGTTGCAATGCGGCCATCTTTTCTTTAGCTTTTTCGTTATCATCGGTGGGAAGAGTTAATTCTGGGTAAACGTTTTGTAAATACCATTCGAAGTTTTTACAATGAAGTTCTTTTCTTAGTTGTTTTCTTGAGTCTATGTAGCCATAATCGAGTGTTTTAGCTTCTGGTTTTTCGTGTAAAAAGTAATCCTATAACAATAATATTATTGTTAAGTACTGTAAAACCACCTACTCTAAAGACGGCGTAGTTTTAGTTCAACGCAACGGTGTGGAGAGCTGTTCGAATTTATGTGCATTAAAATTATATTATTCATTCAAACAGTTTAAAATGCAAATTACAAATTTTTCATATGATGGAAAATTTTTGCTATAACCAGCGTTGCCAACGCTACCGATTTATCAGTAGATCTACCGATATAGAACATAATATACGACTTTAATCTACAGATTTTCAAAACTTCAATTTTGCTTTCAAAACTATTCAATAAAGAATACAGTTGAAGTATTTATTTATGTTAAGAATAAGATATGCTACAACTTTTATTCTAAATTTTTTTATAACATGCTGCGATTCCCGTGTGTTATCATTAATAACTTGTAAAACTACGATTTCATCAACTCACATTTTCGTATTTTTCTCGATATTTACGCATCTGAAAGCAAACGTGAAGGAGAGCAATATTGTTAAGAATAAAATTTACTACAACATTTATTCTAAAAGTTTTTTTTGTAATATGCTCCGAATCCCAAGTGTTGCCATTAACAACTTATAACACTACGAATTCATCAAATTTTCATATCTTCATATTTTTCTCGATATGTTCGCATCTGAGAGCAAAAGTGAAAGTGAACAATATTGTTAAGAATAAAATTTGCTACAACTTTTGTTCTAGAAGTTTTTTTGTAATATGCTCCGAATCCCAAGTGTTGCCATTAACAACTTATGATCAACAACTTATAACACTACGAAATCATCAAATTTTCATATCTTCCTATTTTTCTCGATAAGTTAGCATCTGAGAGCAAAAGTGAAAGTGAACAATATTGTTAAGAATAAAATTTGCTACAACTTTTGTTCTACAAGCTTTTTTGTAATATGCTCCGAATCCCAAGTGTTGCCATTAACAACTTATAAATAGGGTGTTCCATTTAAAAAAACAATTTTAATCCATTTTCCGGAAAAACTGAAAACGATTAATAGTTTTTTATGTTAAATTATTTGGGTTAACAAAAACTTTTAATTGACTATACAGGTGCCTATTATGTATGGAATATACGGTAGTATACATCTCGGTAAATATCGATTTTATAAAAAAACTTTGTATACAGGACCCGCAACGATTGTACAATACTTCACCAGGGAATTCTCTGGTCGAAAATAGACAAAAAAAACCAATAAACATTGGTCCGAAAATGGTGCATTTTCGAGATATTCAAAGTTTTAATTTCATAAGTTGACCTATTATTGTTATCATTAGTTGTAATGATTTAGATGTAGTAATTGTATGATTACCACGGTTGCGATGGTTAAGAAATACAGTTCATTAATAATTTAACAAAACAAGGTAACAAAGATTGTTGAAGAGAATCCTTCAACCAGCATAAAAACAACGAATATTTATTTGGAAAAGAATGATGTCATAATAAATGTTCAATATGAGCACCATTTACTTCTAAACACAAACGGATACGTTTTCTAAATGAACTTCTAATGCGTTCAAAGATACCAGGAATTTGTTTTACTGTGTTAAATGCGTTACTAATTTTATTTTTCACATCGTATACAATTTGAACTTCTTCAGAATAAACGTTTTGTTTTAAATGTCTCCAAAACCAGAGATTTGGAGACATTTGGAAAACCGGATTTAAATCTAGTAAACGAGGTGGCCACGGAACAGCACCGCCTCGCCCAATCCACTTATTGTTCCCTGTTTTAAATCTATCATCTAAGTATGCTCGTAATTGCAAAGGTAATTTACCAAATCCCTCTGTAAGCTCATTTTGTAAAAAATGTATGGATACATCTGCTGTCAATCTCTTTAGAAGAAAAAATGAACCTAATAACTGGTCACCTATAACTCTGGCCCATACATTAACACTGAATCGCCACTGATGATGAGTTTCTAGTAGTGCATGAGCATTTTCATCACTCAAAACGTGCGCATTATGGATATTAAAAATTTCGTCATGGAAATGTTGACGTTTAGTAACTCTTCCTGTATGGCCCATCTACAGAAAACCTATCGTTTTTCGTCATCATTTTCTGTTAAGCTTGAATAGTGTAGTAGTGATACGGATAAAGTAACTGCTCCCTTAAAATGCAGTGAGCGGTTGCTTTCTTGATGTTTTCTTGTGCAGAAATCCTTCTAATGCAGGTTGAGGCATTTCTATCAACTCTTCTCAAAATCGCTTCTTCCAATTCTACGTGAAGGGGTTCATTATTATTATAAAAAAAAACTAAGTAATTAATGATGTTGATAAAAACAGTCAATTTATGCAACTAAAACTTTGAATATCTCAACAATGGTCCATTTTCAATCAGACGAAAATATATACATACATCATACGCTGGTCAAATATTGTACAATCGTTGCGGAACACCTGTATAAAAGTTGTTTAACATTTTATTTTCTATAATAAAAAGGCATTCAATTGTTTTTGTTTCAGAAAACAAATAAGTAACGAATAACACTATTTTTTTTTAAATAGCAATGTAAGAGAAAAAACTATCAAATGAGCCTAACGAAAGGGTATATATGTTACCGTCAATCTGTATAATTCAGGTACTCTACACAATGCCTGCAAGGTAATGTATAAAATACCTGGGGTGTCTAGGCAATGTATGAAATATTATGAAGATTATTGCCCCTTAGATACTTTACCTAGGTAATGTATACAATTCTTAGGGATTACATAGAGTACCTGTTGGTCGACCGGCAATGTGTAAAATAAATAGATTTTGGTCTGTATTTATCAATTTTTACTCATAATAAACTTTTTTATAATCTATAAGTTATTGTACAAAATCAAGTAATAAGTATTAAAAACTTAGGAAACAAAATAATTCTGTAAAAACAAGACGTAGTTTTTTCAGTTTTTTCACTGGCCTCTCAGAATTGAGTAAGTAAAAAAATATATTTATTTATTCTTACATGAGGAATAAATAGAGGAGCTATTGTGACATTTTGAAGTGCATAAAATCTTACTTTTAAGACATGAACACTTTTTAGTATCACAGTGTTTTTTGCAAGTACATTTAATAAATCCCTGACATGTCCTCATAAATTGCAGATTCGCAATTGTATGGAGCGTCGTTTCTTGATTAGGGGCATCTTCTTTTTAAGTAGTTCTTGACGACAAACTCTAAGCTGCTGTCTTAAATACAAATTCTTTACACACCTTGCTTTGTTCCTATTTTATTTAGTACGTCATCCGTTTTTTAGCTAGTATATTGCGAGCATCACCACGACCTCTGTCGACTTCCGGAACAGGGATTCTTACAGTGGTACCCAATGGCACATGGGGAAATTTTTTTTCAGATGTGTTAAGCATTTTCTGAGCTAGCTCTGTTAAATATCTTTGGAACTGATGCGGTTCTCTACAGCTACAGCGTTTTTTAAGCATAATGGGCAAACAACTTTAGAACCATATCTTTCTCCTTCCCTGTTCTCGCCTTTTACACACATTGCCGGCTTCGCATTCGGTATTTTATAGAATACCTAGGCAAAGTATAAAATTAATAATATTTCATATATTACCTAAACGCTTTAGGTATTTTATAAATTGCCTAGGTATTGTATAGAATACCGCATTATATAGATTGCCGGTAACATATACATTGTCATTTAAAAAAATCAAGTGTTAGTCGTTACTCATTTGTTTTCTGAAATAAAAACAATTGAATGCTGTCTTATTATGGAAAATAAAATGTTAAACAACTTTTATATAGGATGTTTCAGGTTTTTTTAGCAGGACTTTAGCAGTCGATAGATCTTTTAAAATTAACACAAAAACTTCATATAAACATAGGTCGACAAACGCGTTGTTTTGAAGATATACAAAATATTACATTAAAATATTACACGTTCATTTCAACCGATTCTTTTCAAATTTGATATACGGAGGTTTTCTGGCATGAGAAAGACGATTATGGAGTCCGTTTTATTATAGCCGGTAGAGGGAAGCTCTGTAACGTATTCTTTACGGATTAAAATAACAATAACTTTTCTGACAGTATACTTTTTGGCTTTTTGAATAAAAATTCTTATTCTCTGTACTTTTTAAGCAAAAAGGGTACTCTTATCAAAATGCGCTAAAGTTTATCGTTTTCAAGTCGTTTGTCGTGTAGCAAAGTTACGTTTTCTTTCATGGAACACCTGTGTATTATTCCATATTCATCTCGAAATTCTTAACAAAATTCATTTAGCACACCATAAACCTAAATTTAACAGTTTTCGAGATATTGGACTTTGAAAATTACTTTCTTACAATTTACACAAAAATATTTTAGACTAACCCAACCCAACCGTATTTTATAGACGGAAATTTGACTGCTGAACGATATTTATTACTATTGCAAGAGCATATTATTACAGAGCTTAGACGACTATTTCCAAACAATAACAATCCCAATTTACCGCCAGAACAAATATGGTTTCAACAAGATGGGGCTCATCCACATTTAGAGCTTGCAGTACAGGTATATTTACCGATATGACCCTGCTTTTGTGGGGTCATATAAAAAGTTTTGCATACAAATATAGACCGCAAAATATCGAAGAGTTGTAAGAAAGGATACGGTATTCCTCCGAATACCCTTTCAGATTCTTTACAAAATTTTGTTCAACGCGTTCATTACTGTCAGGAAATAAATGACCAACAGTTTGAGCACCTTATAAAATAGAAGATTCCTTTCTCTTTCTAACATATTACTTTGAAAGAATAGACGTACGCGAATAATGACAACAGAAAATAAGGAATCATTTTCAGCTCTCGAGAGCTTTAGTATAGTATTAAGCGTGTTGTTTGTCAAATGCCTCGTGAGCACTTAAAGGTACAATTCTGTGACAGGCGGTAGACTGCAAGCTGCAGGGGACACTTTGGTACATGTACAATTTGTATGTCAAGTGCTACCGCGCTTGGAATTATTGCCAATAAATTATAATGTGGAATTATAATGTGCTTTATGA